CATTGATTGCCCATACTTTCAAATGGGTTATTGCAATTGTGGGTGAAGTCAATTTCTCCTTAAGGCTGGGGTTATACCTCTACTCTGTGAGAACCTGCACTTTAGCACAACATACAAAAAACGCACCTGGTGTTTGGGTGCTATTCAGTCTTAATGGCACCCCAATGCACCTTGCTAATGCATGTGCGTTTTAGTGCACCATAATGCATTGTGATGTACTATAAATAATACAAAGTGCAGCGCTGAATCCTAAATGTCATATATAAAATAATAATAAATAGATACGTGCTCTAAAAATCTGTGCAAATAAAGTAAAGTGCAACACGTGTATTCTCACCGGAGGAAGTCACGTGTCTATCGTGACGCAACGCGTCGGTGCGCGAGGAGGATTCTGGGAGAGCGGTGACGTCATTTCCGGCGTGACAGCCATATTTGAAACCCCTATATCATATACCCATGCAAGGCATTCATAGCATGAGGTATAGGAGCCTGATATTGAAGATCTAAATGTGAGTGGGCATTCTTATTATATATAGATTGAATAAATACAGTTTTACACTATGAAAGTTTTCTGTTTATATATGAACCAGGGAGGAAGCTGCTGACAGAGTATATGACTCTGGGGAGGATCCGGTGATACATCAGAGTGGTGTTTTATCCTAAGCAGAGGCAGACTGACCATTTGGAAACTTGGGCACTGCCCGAGGGCCCGGGGTCATTAGGGGGGCCCCATGAGATGCCCCTGGTACCATTTTTATAGGCTTTTTTGAGTTTGGGCAAGGACACAGGGGCCCCATGAGTTGTCAGTCCGATCCTAAGGCGAGCTGACCCTGTGGGGTCAATGTAAGGAGGTGATGGGCCACTGTAGCCATTGTTTGGATTCACACAGTGTGGACACCTGTCATCACATGCATGAAGATTGCATTTTTTGGACACTATGGGGTTTATTTACTAAACCTGGAGAGTACAAAGTCAGGCTCACTTCTGCAGAGAAACCAATCAGCTTCCAGGTTTCATTGCCAAAGCTTAACTGAACAAGCTGAGGTTAGAAGCTGATTGGTTTCTCTGCAGAAGTGAGCCTGACTTTGTACTCTCCAGGTTTAGTAAATAAACCCCTATGTTACATATGGACTTATTTTAAGTGCTCTATATTTTTAGTGATTTTGATTAATTATTTGCTGTGATCACTTTGACACTTTGAATATTCCCGGTGGGAATACACGTGTTGCACTTTACTTTTTTTGCACATTTGCACAGATTTTTAGAGCACGTATCTATATATTTATTATTTTATATATGACATTTAGGATTCAGCGCTGCACTTTGTATTATTTATTGTTAATTTACTCACTTTGGCAGGAGGTGTCAGCAGCTATAGTGATAGGGCCCCGTTTCTAGCGCAGGAGGTCCGTTCCTTAATATTGTGGTGTACTGCCTTTCAAAAAAAAATATATGCACCTTTTTTGGTGTGTTAACACAAGTTTAAAGTGCAAAGTAATGCACATTAATGTGCTTAGTGTTTAACTGAGAGAAAAAAGCGTGAATGTAGACTAGTTCATTAAAATCTTCTGGTGCAGTCTTAGTGTTCTGATTAGAAAAGCTGCAGGGTCTGCATCCCTTTAGAAGTATTTATGGGCAGCACAGTAGCTAAATGGTTATCACTACCGCCTGGCAGTACTTGGGTTGTTGGTTCAAATCCCAGCCATGGCACCACCTGCCTGGAGTTTGCATGTTTTCCCTGTGCCTGCGTGGGTTTCTCCAGGTACTCTGGTTTCCTCCTACACTCCAAAGACATACTGGTAGGTTAATTCAATCCTGTCTAAATTTGCCCTAGTATGTGTATGTATGAATGTGAGTTAGGGACCTTAGATTGTACGCCCCTTGAGGGTTAGGGACTGATGTGAATGTACAATATATATGTAAAGTGCTGTGTAAATTGACGGCGCTATATAAGTACTTAACCCTTGGGGAGCATCTCACCAAAACTGAAATCCCTATTGTAGGGTATGCCTAAAAGTTTGAATTGCACTTTAGTTCAGACTTTAGGGAAAATCTTTGAGCCAATCACACAAGCAGGAAAATACATTTATGGAGGTGTTCTGTACAGAGATGTACTAAACACTTCCAGGATGTCATATTGCATTGAATTTTACAGGAGATTACAAGGGCAGTAGACTGAAAAGGAAAGGTACATTATAATAACAAGTACGGCATGACATGTGTAGCAATTGTATATTATTATTTATTTTGTGCTAGTTTTTTTCCCCACAAAAGCGGAGTTACCCTTTTAAGTTGTAAGTTCTGGAATACCTCTACCTATTTTTAATCTCTTTAATGCAACAAAGAAAGCTTTGTGACTGTAGGAAGACTTGTCATGTGACCAGGCTCTTCTCCAGATTGTTGCTTGTATATGCTATATTATTTTTATTTTTGCTAGTTTTTTCAAGTTGGCAATAGTTTTTCAAGTTCTGGCATACCTCTACTTGTTTTTGCTCAGAGTCTTTTAATGCAACAAAGAAAGCCTCATGACTAGAGGAGGGCCTGTCATGGGACTAGGCTCCTCTCCCAGCTTTTTGTATATGATACATTAGTATTATTTTACTAGATTTTATTTTCCATGAAAGGAGAGTTACCCTTTGGGTTGGAAGTTAAATGTTCTGGAATACCTCTACCTATTTTTATTGAAGTCCTTTAATGTGACAAAGAAAGCTTTGTGACTGGAGGAGGACTGGTCACCTTTGTGACTGGAGGAGGACTGGTCAATGACCAAGCCCCTCTCTCAGCTTTTTGTTTATTTATATATATATATAAATTTATATATACATTTATAATTTATTATTTATATTTATTTTTTATTAATTTTTTATTTTGCTAAGGTTCGGGTGTAGCCATATCACTGTCATATAAATCACCCTCCTTATATAGATTTAATTTTTCTTTCATTTTGGGACTTTAATGCAACAAAAAAGCTCAGTGAATGGAGGAGGACCATTCACATGGCCAGGCTCCTCTCCAGGCATTTTGTTATATATATATATATATAATTTTATAAATGGCCCTCCTAACAGATTATTTATTTTTCTTCTTCATTTTGGGTCTTCAATGCAAAAAAAAAATTCAATGACTGGAGGAGGAACGAACACATGACCAGGCTCCTCTACAGGCTTTTTTATTTATTTATTTTTCCGATAATTTTTTTTAGGTTCCGCCATTTTTTTAGGTGTAGCCATAACCCTGTTTTATAAATGGCCCTCCTTAAATAGATGTTATTTCTTAATTTTGGGACTTCAGTGTAACAATTAAAGCTCAGTGACTGTAGGGGGACCAGTCATGCAACCAGCTTCTCCTCCCAGCTTTTTGTTCATTTACATTCATTATTATATTTAATTATTTTTTTTTTTTATGGTTCGGGTGCAGCCATATCATGGCCCCTCAAATAAATAAATAAATTATATATATATATATATATATATACACACACACCAGGGGCGAACTGATCATTTGTAAATGTGGGCACTGCCCAAGGGCCCGGGGTCAGTAGGGGGCCCCATGAGATGCCCATGGCGCCTTTTTCATAGGCTTTTTTCGAGTTTGGGCAAGGACACAGGGGCCCCATGATCCCCTATTGCCCAGGGGCCCCATGAGTTGTCAGTCCGCCCCTGACATACACACTCCAAAGACATCTGTATATAGTATGTGTATGTATGAATGTAAGTTAGGGACCTTAGCTTGTACGCCCCTCGAGTTTTAGGGACTGATGTGAATGTACATATATATTTGTATGTAAAGCACTGCATAAATTGACAGCGCTATATAAGTACCTGAATGTACTAATATATATATATATATATATATATATATATATGTGTGTGTGTGTGTGTGTGTATATGTATGTATGTAAAGCGCTGCGTAAATTGACAGTACTATATAAGTACCTGAAATAAATAAATATATATATATATATTTTTTTTTTTTTCTTCATTTTGGATCTTGTATGAAAAAAAAATCGTGTATACCTCCATTCAACTCTTGCCAGGTGACCTTCAGAAAAGTTAACTTTTTTTTTTTCTGCGGAACTTGATGTATCGCCAGCCAGGTACAGCACAAACCGAAGATGAATACGGCAATTCATTTCCGAATAAAAACACAGTAGGATGTTTATGGTGAGATAAAAAGGTTGCCCACAAGGTTACTGACATCCTGCCCCAATTACATTAAACAGCCCGTCTCGCATTCTCAGCTCGCGAGTCAGCTGTCGCTCTCCATAATATTGTTCTGTAGAACGGTACATTCTTTAATAAAGTTGGAAAACACTGATATAGACAATCAGCATGCTTGCCAGCGGGGATCATACATCTGGCTCCGGCTACATTCCCTTTAGGTGAAAGATAATTCCTAAACAGAACGAGATACATTATTTCTACCCTGCCAGTAGAAAGGAACAGTTTATTCTCCAGGCCGCAGAGCGCTGCCTCGATATGAAGGAATTTATAGGCTTAATCAATCGCTTGAAAAGGAAAAAAAAAAAAAAAAAAGGAGGGAAATTAATGTTTTGATTTACTGATCGCCAAGTATGTTTACTGGATAAAAATTGCCCTAATTCAATAAGTTAGAAGAACTAGGTAGACATTTCCTCTCTGTCATTACAAATGATTTTATTCTCTTGTGCTCGGATTGCTGTAGGACACAGCGGATAAAACTCACATTCCCATATGATAAAAAAAGACCTTATAAATGTAAAAATTACTAGTCTGTGTAAAATTCACAAAGTACTTGGTAGTATCTGACAGCTTCCCCACCGCCCTATAGCACAAATACTGCTACAGGGCGGCAGGCCTGCACAAAATCACATATATATATATATATATATATATATATATATATATATATATATATATATATATATATATGTGATTTTGCATTTTCAGATAGGGATCGTGCGCACTCACCTCCCTACCCGTGCTGCCATCGGCTGTCAGTCACAGGGTCCTGGATGGAGATTCCCACCTGCACCCAGAAATCACCGAGCATCACTGATGGGGGGAGAGGTCTGTGTGTAAACAATACAGATCTCTCCCCTGTCAGCTCCAGCACACTGCTTTGTGTGGCTCTGCATAGTAAAACACACACAGAACCAGGGGCGGACTGACCATTTGGAAACTTGGCACTGCCCGAGGGCCCGGGGTCAGTAGGGGGCCCCATGAGATGCCCCTGGTACCTTTTTCATAGGCTTTTTTGAGTTTGGGCAAGGACACAGGGGCCCCATGATTCCCTATTGCCCGGGGGCCCCATGAGTTGTCAGTCCGCCCCTGCACAGAACACTATGTAAAAAACACAACACAGCACACTGTTAACCGGCCACTCGGGCGCAACTCGTGACCATCGGGACTCTGCAATCTCTCCCCTGTCAGCATGGACATGCTGCTTTGTATTGCTCTGCACAGCAATACAAAGCATGATGTCTACATAGTAAAACACACACAGCACACTGTTAACCGGGTCCCAGCCACCATTTCTCAGTTGTAACTCGTGACCGCTGGGACTTGGTGATCTCTCCCCTGTCAGCACGGACATGCTGCTTTACTCTGTTGCTTACTCTGCACAGCAATTCAAAGCATCATGTCTACATAGTAAAACACAGCACAGCACACAGTTAACCCTTTGATGACCACATATGTTAACCCCTTCCTGCCCAGTGCCATTAGTACAGTGTCAGTGCTTTTTATTACTGATCACTGTATTAGTGTCACTGGAGGTGTCAGCGGGATGTAATCAGCCCCCCCCCCCCCCAGTGTCAGAATTGTGCTATAAGTCATTGATCGCCACCATTACTAGTATAAAAAATTTTTTAATAAAAATTCCAGTATATATACCGCCATTTGTAGACTCTATAACTTTCATGTAAACCAATTAATTTACATGTATTGTATTTCTTTTAGCAACGACATGGAGCAGAATACATGTTGGCCTAAATTTGACAAAATTAGATTTTTAAAACTTTTCACTGTATATGTTTTATAGCAAAAAGTCAAAAATGTTTTTTTCTTTAACAAAATTGTCAGTATTTTTTGTTAGCTCAAAAAAAAAAAACTGCAGAGGTGATCAAATACCACCAAAAGAAAGCTCTATTTATGGGAGAAAAAAGATGTAAATATAATTTTAATGCATGACCGCGCAATTGTCAGTTAAAATAACGTAGTGCCGTATCCAGGAGCGGACTGACCATTTGGAAACTCGGGAACTGCCCGAGGGTCCGGGGTCAGTAGGGGCCCCATGAGATGCCCCTGGTACCTTTTTTATAGGCTTTTTTGAGTGTGGACAAGGACACAGGGGCTCCATGATCCCCTATTGCCCGGGGGCCCCATGAGTTGTCAGTCCGATCCTGCACAGAACACTATGTAAAACACAACACAGCACACTGTTAACCGGCCACCGATTCTCGGGCGCAACTCGTGACTGTCGGGACTCTGATCTCTCCCCTCAGCACGGACATGCTGCTTTGTATTGCTCTGCACAGCACAGCAATACAAAGCATCATGTCTACATAGTAAAACACACACAGCACACTATGTAAAACACAACACAGCACACAGTTAACCCTTTGATGACCACATATGTTAACCCCTTCCTGCCCAGTGCCATTAGTACAGTGTCAGTGCTTTTTATTAGCACTGATCACTGTATTAGTGTCACTGGAGGTGTCAGTGGGATGTAATCAGCCCCCCCAGTGTCAGAATTGTGCTATAAGTCATTGATCGCCACCATTACTAGTATAAAAAAATTTTTATAAAAATTCCAGTATCTATACCGCCATTTGTAGACGCTATAACTTTCATGTAAACCAATTAATTTACACGTATTGGGATTTTTTTTAGCAAAGACATGGAGCAGAATACATGTTGGCCTAAATTTGACAAAATTAGATTTTTAAAACTTTTTACTGTATAGGTTTTATAGCAAAAAGTCAAATATTGTTTTTTCATCAAATTTGTCAGTATTTTTTGTTGATAGCTCAAAAAATAAAAACTGCAGAGGTGATCAAATAACTTCAAAAGAAAGCTCTATTTATGGGGGGAAAAAGGATGTAAATTTCATTTTAATGCATGACCGCGCAATTGTCAGTTAAAATAACGTAGTGCCGTATCCAGGAGCGGACTGACCATTTGGAGACTCGGTAACTGCCCGAGGGCCCGGGGTCAGTAGGGGGCCCCATGAGCTGCCCCTGGTACCTTTTTCATAGGCTGTTTTGAGTTTGGGCAAGGACACAGGGGCCCCATGAACCCCTATTGTCTGGGGCCCCATGAGTTGTCAGTCCGCCCCTGGCCGTATCGCAAAAAATGGCCTGGTCAGGAAGGGGGGGGTAAATCCTCTGGAAGACAAGTGGTTAATGAACTATTTAGCATTAACCTGTTTAAAGTGAAAAGGTCCTCCAGTTGATGCAATTATTATTAAATGTAAGTATGTATGAAGGGTGTCCAATTCAAACCGGAACTTTAGAGTTTATATAATGAGAGAACAAATTTCAAGGAGTGGAAACTGCATTTATTTTTCGATATACACCCCTGCTACATTTATACACTGATCCCAGTGTATAACTAATGCTTGGAAATCTTTGGCATAGAAAGATTTGTTAGTACGCTTGAACAAGGGCGGACTGACAACTCATGGGGCCCCTGTATCCTTGCCCAAGCTCAAGAAAGCCTATGAAAAAGGTACCAGGGGCATCTCATGGGGCCCCCTACTGACCCCGGGACCTCGGGCGCTGCCTGAGTTTCCAAATGGTCAGTCCGCCCCTGCGCTTGAACCATTCTAGGACATTCGTGAATGATTGTGTTCACCGTTCCCACAGAAAAATGAGTCTCTTGCGCAATTTCACAACAGGTTTTATGCATCGATTATCCAGAATCGGGCATTCCACACACTGAATTTTTAAAGGAATGACTGCTGTGGGCTGGGAACCACCATGGCCGGGATAGTCAATGACAAACCGATGGACATCTTTGAAACATTTACACCATTCAAATATCTTACTTACTGCGCCTGAGCGTCTTATCTCCGTACTGAGATCTTTATAGACGTGCCATTCCATTTCATGATCTTACACTGTTAATGACCTTCAAATGGGTCCAATCAACATTTTAGCCGTTTAACCTTTTGTCTCTACGTTTAAGCCAATTTCAGTTGAAACGCGTTAGTTACAAGGAGCATCCTTAGTGGATGATTTGACAGCTAGGTATGTATGGGGTATTTTTTTTTTTTTTTTTTACAATACTGGGGGTGGATTAAGCTTCAGAGAGGGGGGGAGTTGATGAAGCTTGAGTTCCCCTTTAACTTCTCCATCTGTACTATATTTATATAAGTCCTTGAGACTTTTTTTTTTTTTTTGGTGTGCAAAAGATAGACGTTATTGGGCTGTTTTGTGTTGGACAAACTGTGGGCAGCACAATGGCTAAATTGTGTATCCGCCTGGCAGTACTGGGGTCATTGGTTCGAATCCCAGCCACGGCACCTCCTGCCTGGAGTTTGCATGTTCTCCCTGTGCCTGCGTGGGTTTCCTCCGGGTACTCCGGTTTCCTCCGGGTACTCCGGTTTTCTCGCACCCTCCAAAGACATATTGGTAGGTTAATTCAATCCTGTCTAAATTGGCCCTAGTATATGTATGTATGAATGTAAATTAGGAACTTTAGATTGTACGCCCCTTGAGGGTTAGGGACTGATGTGAATGTACAATATATATGTAAAGTGCTGTGTAAATTGATGGAGCTATATAAGTACCTGTAATAAATAATAAATAAGTATTTAACCCTTGGGGAGTATCTCACCAAAACTGAAATCCCTATTGTAGGGTTTCCTACGGGTACTCCGTTCTCCTCCCAAACTCCAAAGACATGCTGGTAGGTTAATTGCATCCAGGGGCGAACTGACAACTCATGGGGCCCCCAGGCAATAGGGGATCGTGGGGCCCCTGTGTCCTTGCCCAAACTCCAAAAAGCCTATGAATAAGGTACCATGGGCATCTCATGGGGCCCCCTACTGACCCCGGGCCCTCGGACAGCGTCCGAGTTTCCAAATGGTCAGTCCGCCCCTGATTGGATCCTGTCTAAATTGGCCCTTGTATATGAATGTTAGGGACCTTAGATTGTACACCCCTTGAGGGTTAGGGACTGATGTGAATGTACAATATACTGTATATGTAAAGGGTTACGTAAATTGACAGCGCTATATAAGTATCTGAAATAAATAAATATTTATCTGAGTTAAACAAATAACAAGAACAAATGACCGTTGACCAAGGCAAAGACTCCTCAGTTCCTGCTCCTTACAAGGGTTTGATGCATGGTCCTATAAGTGTCTGGTTTCTAGAACAATAACAGCCAGAATCTTCTTACTGTGGGCCATTGAAATTTTGTTTGCCTCCTGTTTTTATAAATGAGGTCCATTGTGTACCATGTTGTATTTTCACTTGCTCTACTTTCCATTGTGTTTTTTCGGCAGATGCATATTGCTCAGCAAGACTCCACCTGCACAAACTGGGTCAGGCAGCACGAGGGACCGTCAGTGTTAGTACCATATGACCTGTAATGCCATGATTGTATCCAACCCACGCAGGCAGGAAACCACAGGGTTTGGACACAAGCAGTATAAAATAATACATTTTTCAGTGAAAAGACAAGACCTTAGAAATCAATTCCCTTCTGCACTACGCAGAGACGTAAATAAGATCTACAGGGTCCAAAGAAAAATTAGAAAAATCCCACATGGCTCATGGAAACAAAAACGTTGTCATTTAGCTCGTGTTCTGGCCAATATACTCCATATGACTTTCAATCTCAGTACAGCTAACGCCAATTTTTATTATTTCATTTTAGATGAAGTAGGGAATGATTAAAACTCCTGACAGTGAAAAAAAACTCCTGACAGTGGCCCATTCTTTTAAAACAATTTCATTTTTCAACAGAAACAGCAACAGAAAAGATAACGAAAAACTAAGAATAATAACAACCCAAATATAACACCCAACTGTATACAATGTATGCTTCCATCTTTCCCAAATACTGTATCTCACAACGTTGTCATTAATAAATCTTAACAAAATTATTACCATTTTGCCAGGCAG